TTCATTGTTGGATATATCTTACTTATTCACCTGTAAGAAAAGAATCTCATTATATTTCAAAAATCAAATTTTATTTTATGAGTGAAGGTAAATGTAAAAAATAAATAAATTTATTCATAAGTTTCATAAATATATAATTTTTTTTTTTAAATCTCAGTGGAGGAGGGCTGGAGGCAATTATCCACACATTTCAACATAGATCTGCCAGTGTGTTAAGTACAGGTGCTCTTTCTGATATGGCACTCCTAATTTTCAATCTTAACACAAACGAGACTGAGCAAAAGACTGGGGGGCGGCCCCCAGACATCACTTGTGCATAATTCAATACACAAATCAATGTCCTCCTAAATGGAGTAAAGATGTGTGCAAATCATGGTTTGTTGAATATTGAAGTGGAGTCTGACGACAAACTGATGATTGTACAAGTCATACAAGCACTTACAATCCACCTTGTTAATAGGTCGCAACAGTGGTTATGAAGACACTATTGGTATTCTTGTTCCTAAGACTAACGCACAACAGTGGTTATGATCTTTTGATGAATGAAATTTGCCCAATAGGCATAAAAGAGGGTATCCCCCACGTAAAAGGTCTACAATGTGTAATAGTGTGCAACCTTATCCAAGTTAAGCATGATTTGTAACTAAACCTGTCCCTGAAAGTTTCAGTTGGAATGGCAATGGGGCGGAATATGGCCAGGTTTTACATGTCCCTTAATCATAAGTTCAAATATCTCACAATGTTTTCCACTGGGACTAAAAATCCCAACTCCATCCCGTTTGTGCGGGAAATGGGGATCCCCGAATTTGTCCCGTTCAGCCCTCGTCATTCCTACATGCAAATTTAGTTTTTTATATATTTTTAAAACCTACCTAAAACTATATAACATTATTATAATACACTTTTAGTCTTTTAGTTGGGGACCAAGGACCGCGGCATAGACAAATACCACCCCCATTACCTCATCTCCGTTGCCCCGAACCTTGATCATGGATCAAAAAATCTGACCCCACAGAGATAGGTCAAATCATCTTTAGAATTGAAAAAAATTCAAATGAACCTAATCCAAAACCCAAAAGCAATGTAAAACGTTCATGGACCGTACCAAAAGCCAGGGCTTATAAACGGAGGGAGTTTTCAAGTCCTATTTTATACTGCAGTCAATCAAACAAAGTAAGGTAAAATACGAAACAAAAATAAATCAGAATTTTCTATCCACTCTATCTAAAACAGTGGGGTCCACACCAATTTAATTGCTTGAAATCATTTTGTTTTGGATTCCTATTTGAGTCAGCAAAACTAATAATTATATTTGATTTGCCATTAAATGTTATAAACTAACTTTCAGTGTTGAATCACGAAATAACATGGTTTTCAAGATAAGGTGGGATCCATGCTATTTTACCGTATATTTTTATTTTAAATTAAATTTATTTATCCTATTCTTCTGAATGACAAATTAGCCGCGTGTCGAGAGGAGAATCCCTCTTGTCGGAGGGCCTCGTTTTACAATCTGCATATTAGTGTCTCCCATGTAGGACCTACAAAAATGTTTCACCTAAAAGATCGATCACCGCTTTGTAAATAGAAAGTGGTGGCAGCTTAAAAGGATACACCTAATTGCTATTATTATGATGGTGTGTACCGTGTAAAAGACAAAAGGGCTTTCGTTGCGGGAATAGGGTCTGGAATCAGAATTAGGAAGATTCATTTCATTCCAACCGTTTGATTGGATAGAATTGGGCGGATTAGATTCGAATCCTACAATGACATTTCCCATTAATATCTATATTAAAAGGACCAACCATTTTTAATTTTAATTCATGTCTGAACCAAACCGGCAAAGGAATTAGATCAACAATTGGTCTTTCATCTATTTTTGTTGATCAGTTTATTAATATCACATTCAAATATTATAAGAAAAAGAAAGCACAAATCCACATTAATTTGACGTATGGCCAAATCCAAACATTATACTGACTTTGTCTAATTGTTGAAAAGATCAAGTGTTGATCACGACCGTTCATTTAATGGACAAACACCTAACAATCATATCTCCCCTGCTCAATAATTTGTCATTTCAATGGGTCATTCATTATCACAACCTAGCTACTAATTCAATTGGTCACTCGCATCCTTGTGTTTGAGGAGGTGTAGGTTCAAACTTGTTGAAGACAATGTTGACATCATGAATGCTAATGGACCCGAACATGCATCCCTCCCTCTGCTACTACGAATCCCATTAACTGGATCTATGTGTAGTAYTCCTCTACGGGGGCCAAAGCCGCTTCACATATACTTTAGCGTTTGTTTAGCATCGTTGTCATTGCTCCAGTAAACGGTGTTATTATTAGCGTTATATCGGAAAAAACGATGTTTTAGGAAATGGGTGTTTGTTAGGAAATACTTTTCTATAAAAATAGTATTTCATGCCATGCCTTAGAAATTGAGAAGGCATGGCATGGAGCAATGTTGAATTTGGCATTTYCTGCACCTGCAGTTCGTTGCTGCTAATAGAGATGTGAGGTGGTAGTGATGTGGCACTGGATAATGGGTACATGTGCTGAAAACATTTCTTGGAGCATTGGTACCAAACAGAAAAATTTGTTGCTCCAGAAAATGTCCTACCTGGCAGCAATAATTCCAAATAAAAAAACAAGAAACCGTTTTCTCAGAAAACGGTGGTTCCAACCCACACATCAGCAGCACTGTTTTCTCAGCATCGATGCCAAACATATACTTAAAAAATGGTTTCTCGTGCTTCATTTGTATGTCATCACTAGCATTTTTTTGGTAGAACATCCATTATTTAAGAGTATTTTGATATTTTCAGTATATTAAGACAAACACATCTGAACAGTTCACTATGAATGTTTAATTATGGGTAGAGTAGTGATTTTGCTTCTTTTTATTTGTCATCTAATTGATTATTTTTTATTTTTGAAAGATTTAATGGATTATCTTTTGTCAAGGGTTTCTCAGATCTATATATTTAAAGTTAGGGAAGTTTTAAACATTATAAGGCTCCATGCATTCCTTTTTTGGTAAGTTACTTATTGGGGTAAATAAACTTACCAGGGCAAATGTGGAATATTTTCTAGGTAAATAAAAAAAGGACCATTTTAACTATAAAAGTTCAATGTTAAAAAAAGGCAATTTTGTCCCATCTCCCCCCCCCCCAAGGTCGGAAGTTATTTATGCACCTGGGAGATAGGTATCATTTACCTTGATAAGTGATACTAGATAAAATTATTTTCTCTAATCCCCACATAAATCTGGAAAAAGAACAKAGATTTCTTGGTCAGTAGGAACCAAAATCCCCTTGACCAACTTTCCCCCTAAAAATCCAAAAAATGAATAAACCCTAAATAAAACAAAGAGGATATATAGATAATTTCCCTCTCATCATTATCATCACTCCCATCCACATTGTCATCATGCCAGCTTGTCCAACCATGCAAATTACACTTTAATTGGATATACCTATACAATATTTGTGATAAATGCATGTAAACTTGGTCCAAGTTGCATCTCTTGCTATCTGTTATAACTCTTGATATAAATATATAATTGTGACCATGTTTGTTCAGTACACAAATTTCTGATATATTAATTGATGTAGGCGCATTCAGCTCCCCCAATACGGGGCTGACATGTGTCGGACGACGGGCGGCAGCATGGGATCGTCATAAGGATGCGTGGACCCCTTTGGTACAAACCGGGTGGGCCCAATCGCAGGGCGTCGCGTGGTCTCCGCTGGAATATCTCGCGAGCCCTCATACGGCTCGCATCTAGGGCATCCAAGCCCAACCACTCCCATGCAGCTCCAACTATAAAGGCAAGGCGCCTCCCACAAGGTAAGGGATCCAGAACTTTTTGAGACCTTTCACATTCTCTCCTCTGAGGGTTTGGTGCTATCTGAGACCTCGTCTGGACCCCTTGGCTCCAGACTTACTGTTTACCTCATGCGGGCACCAACTTGACCGTTGGAGTCCTACCCCTCGGGTTTCAACCTGAGGCCTCTAACACTCTCTTCCTTGCAGGACAACTTCCGAGAGCTCTTACAGACCCCTCGTACGCACAAGTGAGCAGCTACACTTCGGTCTCCCCAAACGTCCTTCTCAGTACTAGCCCTCAGCCTCTACCGAATCCGAAGGAGTGATCCACCTCGGCCACGGCCCACCTCCTCCAGACCCTCAAAGCCTTCGGCCATCCTTCGAAGCTCGAGAGTGAAATTACCTTGTTGCCCTTGGCTAATCCGAGTAACAATAATTGGCGCCGTGTATGGGAAACGTGGCTAAAATGATCCCTTAAAACACTACAAATTTAAGATCTCCTAAGCTTTAGACACCATGGTACAAAGAGCCAGGAACCCCCAAAACCTGGTTACCAATGAACAGTTCCAAGCGATCCTCAATCGTCTGGAATACCTCACACAACGTGTAGAACAAGTCTGCCCCTAGGTAGGAGGTCCCTTCTGAGGCGACCGCCCCGCCGGGGTGTTAGATCAACAGGGCCAGCGTGAGTTGGCCAAGCTGCCAGCCCTTGACCAAGCCAACACTCGGTAGGCCGAGCCCTCGGAGTCCGGCAGCAGCCAACCCACCAGCCCACCTCGGTCCAAAGGCAACCACCAGCCCTCCGAACAGCATCACCGCCACCAAAGAGAGAATCCCCAGGACAAAGGCGGGCACCTCGGCCGTCCTAGTGCCCACTCAAGGGCCGATAACCAATGTCGTGCCTCTCCCCCACACATCTCGAATCTCCGCAACATCCTGAATGACCGTCGCGCCTGACGAAAGGCGCGCGGTCCAGCTTCGGAGTACTCCGGAGTCCGAGCCAACCTCTACCATGCCCGTGAGGACAAGGGTGGGGCACATGCTCCAACCAACCCTCGAATTGTAGAACTACAAGCCGAGCTCGGGGCCGTCAGAAACGAGCTCTGCTAAGTCTGAGAAAGCCGAGCTGACGCATCGGCTGAACAAGGCAATTCGACGGGGAGGATGGACGCCTTCACCCCAAACATTATCTCTGATCCTCTCCCCCAGCACTTCAAGGCCCCTGCACTAGAGATGTACGACGGGAACTTAGACCCCGACGACCATCTAGAAAGTTTTAGAGTTTTCAAGATACTCTATTGGTATTCTGACACCTTGACATGCCAGACTTTCCAGGCCACCTTCAAGGGGGCTGCTCGTCGTTGGTTCTCCAGTCTCCCGCTTTGGTCAATCAGCTCGTGGGAGCAATTCGCCGACCTCTTCCTCGCCCGCTTCATCAGTAGTCGAAGGTGCCAAAAGAGTGTGGTCTCGCTGATGTCCACCAAGAAAAAGCGAGGTGAGAGTCTATGGTCCTACATTGACCGCTTTAAGAATGAAGAACTCGAGGTCCGAGACCTCGACCCCATGGTCTCTATGCACGCTACTATCAGCGGGCTTCTCCCCAAATTGGCCCTAAAACGCTCGGTGGCCAAGACCCCACCGAAGATGAAGATGGAATTCCACAAGAAGACCCAGAAGTACATCCAGGCCAAGGAGGCTTCGGACGGGAATAACCAGGAAAGGGAAGCTAAGCGCCATAACGGGGCCCCGGAGAAGAAGCGGAAGAGCGAAGACCACTACCACAACAACAACAACAGCAAGGACAACAAAAAGCCATCGGCCTTGGCCCTGGCTTACAACCAGTATACGCCACTSAACTCCACCCAAACCCAGATCATGATGCAGGTCGGGGGGAGAAATTCATGAAGTGGCCTGAAAAGATAAAGAAGAACCCAAAGAAGTACTGCAAGTACCACCGCGGCACTAGCCAAGACACGGAGGACAGCTATGATTTGAAGAATGAGATAGAGTCCCTCATCCGCCGTGGGCACCTCAAGCAGTACGTCGAGGGCAAGGCTGGCGCCTCGTCCTCCCAGTAGTAGCAACTGCAGCAATACCAACCAGTAGTCGACGCCATCAACATCATCGTCGGGGGCATGGCCTCAGATGGAGCCTCAGCCTTGGCCTACAAGGCCTACGCCATGCAGTTGAGCATCCATGGACCTGCCCCCAAGAAGCCGAAGCCTCAAGAAACCCTCTCCTTCATGGATGAGGACTTGAGGGGGGTTACAATCCCCCATGATGATGCCCTTGTCATTTTGGTTGTCATCGCCAACTTTGTAGTGAAGAGGATCCTCATCGACAGTGGCTCCTCGGCTGACATCCTCTTCTACGAAGCTTTTGAGAAAACGAAGATTGTGCCCGAGCACGACGTCGGAGTCGTTCACGGGGACCAGCATGTCGCTCGTCAGTGCTATGTTGCAGCACTAAAGGGCAAGAACATGGAAGCATTGTCACTAGAGAGCCTTGACCTAGGGGAGGAACCAACGAGCCAAGGCCAAGAAGTCAAAGACTTCACCTCGATTCCCCTAGACGAGGCCGAGCCCGAGAAAACAGTCCGTGTCAGGTCCAACCTTCCCCCAGAAAGCCTATCCGAACTGGTAAGTTTCCTCAAAACTAATGCCAACGTCTTTGCTTGGTCCACCGTTGAMATGCCTAAAATTGACCCCTCGGTCATCACTCACAGGCTGAGCAAGGACCTGAGCTCTAGGCCAGTCAATGAGGTTTTGGTAAAGAAAGCTAATGGGAAGTGGCAGATCTGTATTGATTTCACAGACCTTAACTGAGCCTGCCRTAAGGATAGTTTTCCTTTGCCAATGATAGACCACCTCGTCAACGCCACTACAGGTTACAAATTACTTAGCTTCATGGATGCCTTCTTCGGATATAACCAAAAAAAAGATGTGCCGCAAAGACAAGGAAAAGACCACATTCATCACCGAGCACGATACCTACTGCTACAGAGTGATGCCCTTTGGCTTCAAGAATGCAGGAGCCACCTACCAATGCTTCGTCAACAAGGTGTTCAAAAATCATATGGGGAGGAACGTCAAAGCCTATGTGGACGATATGGTGGTGAAGAGCCTAAAAGCCGAAGCGCACACCTCGGACTTGGCCAAAACCTTCGACACCTTGCGGAAGTTCAACATGAAGCTCAATCCTAGCAAGTGTGCCTTCGGTGTCACCTCAGGCAAGTTCTTAGGCTTCATCGTTACTCAAAGAGGCATTGAGGCCAACCCTGAGAAGATACAAGCCATACTGGACATGGCACCCCCTCAGTTGGTGAAAGAGACTCAAAAGCTCATTGGCCAAATTGCAGCCCTCAATTGCTTCATGTCGAAGTCGGCTGACAGCTATTTACCCTTCTTCCACACCATCAAGAAACTAAAAGACTTCTAGTGGACGGATGAGTGCCAGCACGCCTTTGATGAATTGAAGAGATACCTCGCCTCACCTCTGCCGAATAGAATGTACCTTCCGCCGAGCCCCCAAAGATGAATTGGAAGAGGGTCGCCCAGTCGAGGAGGCTCATCCCACATGGAGACTTGTTGTTAACGAGTCATCCAATGCCAAAGGAAGTGGAGCAGACCTCATCCTTCTCACCCCAGACGATGTAGTAATAGAGTACGCACTGAGATTCGACTTCCCTACATCCAACAACGAAGCCGAGTACGAGGCCCATCTTACTGGGTTGCAGCTCACCAAGGACCTCGGTTCCCAGCACATTGAAGTCTTCAGCGACTCACAGCTGGTGGTGAACCAAGTCAATGGTGAGTATGAAGCCAGAGAACAGAGCATGACTAAGTACCTCGCCAAGGTTCAAGAGCTAGCTCGCCACTTCCAACTCTTCTCCCTACAGCAAGTCCCACGAGCCGAGAACACAAGAGCTTATGTCCTTTCCAAGTTGGGAAGCACCTTGAATGCAACCCTTGGTCACACTGTCCGTGTGGAGAAGCTACCTTGGCCCTCTATTGAAGAAGCCCAAGTCCTCCCAGAGCCAAACCATCATGGATGAACCCCATCATCAACTTCCTCTTGACTAAGGAGCTGCCCAGTGATAGGAACAAAGCCAGACGACTCCAACGCTAGGCAGCCCATTACACCTTGCTCAAAGGGAAGTTGTATAGAAGATCATTCACCTTGCCATACCTCCGATGCCTCCGTTTGGAAGAGGGTGAGTATGTACTCCAAGAGATACACGAAGGCATCTACGGCAACCAGCTAGGCAGTAGAGCCCTAGCCCAAAAAACACTAAGGCATGAGTACTTTTAGTCGCCTTTACAAGGACTTAGCCGAGCTGGTACAGAGGTGCAACCAATGCCAGAGACATGCCAACCTATGCCATCGTCTGGCCACAACCCTCTCAGTTCTCAACAGCCCATTACCCTTCACCTAGTGGGGAATGGACCTCCACGGCCCCTTCCCTCAAGCAACGGGGGGCAGGAAATACCTTGTCGTCATCGTGGACTACTTCACCAAGTGGGTAGAAGCCAAACCCCTAGCTACCATCACAGCTCGAGCAATCCAGAGCTTCTTTTGAAGAACATTATCTGCCACTTCGGCCTCCCCCACATGTTGGTAACTAACAATGGAAAGCAATTTGATGACACTAGGTTCCGAGAATGGTGCACCTCCCTCGGCATCAAGCAGCAGTACACCTCGTAGGCTATCTCCAGACAAATGGCCTAGTTGAGATCACCAACAGAACCATCCTGGATTGGCTGAAGACCAGATTAGACCAAGCCAAAGGCCTATGGGCGGATGAACTGAGCAGTGTCCTCTGGGCATACCTAACCACACCTCAGATGACCACGGGAGAGACCCCGTTCGACTTAACCTATGGTACAAAAGTAGTTATCCCAGCAGAAATCGGCCAGCTGACACTCCGGATCGAAATGTACAATGAAGTCGAGAATAGTGAAGCACTAAGAGAAAACCTAGATCTGCTGGAAGAAGCCCGGAAGCAGGCACAATTTAGGGTAGCCGCCTACCAGCAACGAGTGGCCCGCTAGTACAACTCAAAGGTGAAAGAAAGACATTACCGAAAGGGAGACCTCATCCTCAGGAAGGTCATGGTCCCCGAGCTCGGAGTAGGAAAGTTGGACCCCAACTGGGAAGGTCCCTACAAGATCAAGCAAGTCCTCGGCCCCGGCACCTTTCTTCCGGAACACTTAGATGAAAGACCCGTTCCTCGGACATGGAACTCGGAGAACCTCCGGATGTACTACCAGTAAATGTAACTTTTGATGGACAAATGACAAATGAATAAAGCAAAGTTCCTCTTCGGCTCAATGTTCAGCGTGTGTTCTCACTAAGTCCCTAGGACCCCTCGGCTTCGCGACTGGTCGAAGCACACAGCCTCTCCCGAGGACCATGTGCTCGTGTTGAACCATCGCCAAGGCACATAGCCAGTGGCGAACACCCAAACATAACACCTCGCCAAATGGAAATACATCGAGGCGGTCGAGGCATTGTACGCCTCACTACCCGAGTCGCTGGCGGATGACCTCCTAGTCCTACATACTTAACGCGATTGAAAAAAGATGGCAACCCCGTCTAACTCTATGGTTTCCCTTGGCCCGAGACCCCGGCCTCCCTGGAGCGTCACCTCGGCCTGGCCAAAGTAACCACTTGGGAAAGAGTGGCCAGGCGAGCTACACCTCTGCCTCGGCCCCTCCCCCACACTTCGACAGGCCACCTCGGTCTTCCCTAAGTAAACACTTGGGAGGAAGCGAGCTAGACAAGCTATACCTCGGTCGCACACCTTTTGCCTCAGCCTTGGTTCCCCAACTGTCTAAAGCGAGCGTATACTTAAAGCGAGCCATTTTTGTGAACCATGATCTCTTCATTGGGAGGGACGGGGACCTCTCGAGTAAAAAAAAAAAAGAAAGAAAGAAGAGAAAAAAGAAGGATAGAGCACTGTGCAAAAAAATGCTTTGACCATTCATTCATTCATTTCGTATAAGCATTTACAAAAATTTTGTGGCCTCGGCAGGTCGAGCACATGTACATCAAAAAAAGGAAAAACAAAAATACAAGGAAAGAAGTGGCTACACTTCACCACTTTCTGCACCATCAGCAACCTCGGCACCATCAGCGGGCTTGTCGAGGACTTGGACGCTCTACTCGGGGGACTCCGGGTACACTTGCAGCCCCTCGACATCGAAGTCCAACAGCACTTGCAAAACAGCCTTCTTCATGTCCTCAATGTCATCCAAGTAGGATTGGGCAGCATAGTCAATGAGGCTCTTTTGGTACTCCACCGACTTCTTCCAAATTTCAACGGCCTCATCTGCTCGTGCTTCGATCTCAGCTGCCCGTTTCTTAGCTTCTGTTGCCCGCTTGGAGGCCCCCAAAGCAACTCCATCGAGACGGGTCCGATCCTCCTCAAATTTCTTAAGGGTCTCCTTCACGCAGTCAACCGGGGCCTTTTCCCTCTTCAAGTCATCCTCCAACGTCTGTCAGAGCTGCTTCTCTTCCTTCATGGAGGCCATGGCCTCGTCTCGGCTACTCTCTGCCTTGGCTACCTTCACGGCCAGCTTCTCGTTGATCTTCTTGGATAGAGCCAAGCGCTCGAGAAGAAGTCCCATTCGGACTGCCATGCCAATGTAGTGACGACAGACCTGCACAGAAGGAGAGCACCATCAATAAAGCAAATCGCGATAAAAAAAAATAAAAAAACATAAAAAATAAAAAAACTAACTAAGTGCCATGGAAAGGATGCAGTACAAGGGAGGAGGCATATCTCGGCCACATGGTAGAGACCCTCGTCGCGGACAAACTAGGGGTCGCTCTACATCATCTCAAAGCGGTCCCTTAGAAGGACCGCCCCGCTCACTAGGGCCCTAGTGACCCCCTTCTCCAAG